AGTTAAATATTTACCCTAGGTTAACCATCCCTGTCTGCAGAGTTTATATTTTGTTGGAGTTTGGGCAAGCAAGTGGTATTTGCAAAATTCCTTGCCTGCCTCTGCTATTTAGAAAATGCATTTACAAAGGCCTTTTTTTTTCATCCTCAGAATATTTTTGATCAGGTGTGAGAATTTACCCAGTCTGGAAAGACATTGAATTAACATGTGACACCGCAGTAGGATTGTATTTGGGACTGGATTATTTCAGTTGCTAGTCAGGAACCTACGTGAAACAGGACCTGAGGAATATTCTTTGGATCTGTCATCACTCTGGGCCTGGGGGGTTTCCTTCTGTGGTTTTGGATGTCTTGAAATCTGGCTCATTCTGACAAGTCCAGATGACTGTGTGTGGGTGGCTGGTCCTGCATCCAGCTTGCAATGGGGTGAGCAGGTCAGAGGCACCCGGAAGAGCTGAGGAACACATCTCGTGTTCCTCCCAGAGGCAGGCGGAGAACATTTCTGCGATGGGGCTGGAGTCTGTCCAAATCGCTTGGCATCCCAGGCCCAACAAGTCTTCTTGCCAAGCTAAAGTCTGCATACCAAGGAAGTGCTCTAGGCCTTCCCACCTCAGCTAGCGTGCCGTGGCTCTTCTGAGGACTTCATTTTGCTTGGTAGAAAACAAGCTCTCTCCCACATGCTTTTCCTGAATTCTCCTCAGAAAAAGGCCACTCTGTATTACAGCCCCTTAGGACACTGCAGGCTGCCCAGAACATCTCCATTTGTATGTTTGGGAGCATCTTTATTCAAGCTTCTCTTGAAAAACACAAATATAAAACACAGTGTCTTTCTGCCCTCTTCCCTTTCATCTTGCTCCCTCCTCCCCCACCATGACTTTGAGGGATCAATCTTCAAACTACTTCAGACCAAACCAGTCACGGCACATGAGCTGATTGATGACTACTCTCTAAACCTACAGGAGTTAGGTCTCCCAAGAACAGAGGATAAACAGCACCCAGACCCAAGGAAGCTCCCGAAAGCTGCAGATGACCTTGTCAGTCTTACGAAGAGGGAAGTAGAGTCAGGAAGACAGAGGAAAGGGAGGTGGCACAGTGAGTGTTCTCTGCACTCTTGCTGCTATGTGGTTTTGTAGGAAATGTGGCCTGAGGGCTACTCTGACCTGTGCCAAGTGAGCATGTAGCAGATGTGAGACTCACAGAGCTGCAAACAGCTCTTTGAAAGCCTTCCTCTCCTTCTCTAGCAAAGAAATTCAAATCTGATTTCTCTCAGACTTTGTATGGACCTTCCGCAGGTGTGGAAAACCATCACCTCTGTTCCCTTGGGGCATTAGAATTAAACATTATGTTTACAGAAGGCAACAGCTAGATTACAGATATCCTATTTTAAGTGTCTATCCCGTGGATGTGCAGCAAGACTTTGCTAAAATTTAACAATGGGAACGGATGAGTAGTAGGAAAAAGGATGTAAGCTTTTGCTCTGAGAGGTCCGACTATCGACTTCCCTCAACAAAGCAAGAACATTTCTGAGGAAAATGGCTCAAATTAAATCCTGCACTCTGCTTGCTTGGTGATGAAACATAAAGGGGAAGGATGTGATTCCCTTACAGTCATCAAGATTTTTTCATTCCTTCCAATGAGGCTGGAATTTCAAATGCCTACCATCAAAAATTGATATCAAGCAGAACTTGACTGGACATCAGCATGACTGGAATTTGACTGGAAATCTTCCTTCCTGGGCCAGTGGTGAAAACTATATTGGCTATTTCCTCACATAAAGCAAAAGGATTTTTTAAAATTTTATTTAAAAGGAACTGGATTTTTTTTTTGTGGTTGCTTTTTGTCATTGTTGTTTGGTTTTGATCCCTCTTCTGATTTCCGGAGGAAGCATTCTAAGCCCTGTGAAGTTGAAAGCCACTTAAGACAAAAAAGGAACCTTCAAGTTGCAATAGAAAAAGTCAAAATCCCTAATTTAGAAGCACCAGCAGGGTGGACACTGGAAACATGCAGACTCACTCACTGGAAAGCTCCCAAGATCTACAAGCGCTGAAATGAAAACATGACACAATGGATCAGTCAACGATTACTACTGAATAAGCCACTGGGCTTTGGGGTTAATCACTGCATCCATCCATGAACTCTCACAGCGTGTGGAAAAACAGTTAGCTTTGCCTAGAATGTCTTTGGGATGATGTCCATTTGTATGGTAGGAGGTTCATGTGCTCTCTTGTCTTCTTCTTGACAAAAACATTCTGATTTCAAGATATGTCACGAAAAGAAGGAAAACTGTTTGGATCAGTGTTTGAATCAGGAAATCAAAAGGGGGGAAATAAGGAAGGGGAAACTGGGAGTCTGAATTCTCACAGTGTCATTCACCAGGAAGCTTGACACAAGCATCCCTTTTGGTGTTCTTGAAGAGTTGTCTATCACCAAACATCCTTAGAATGCGTTAAAAAACATTCATTGGGACCTACGATTTTGGAGGTGTGTGTTCCTTCAGGTCACCTGGCTGTTCTCATGGCACTGCTCTCAGCAAAGTCACTCCCAAAAGGTCATGGTCTCTCTCCAAGAGAGAAGGAGTCCACTGTCATTTCATATAGTGGAAAAGGTTCTAAGTTAACTCTTGTGCTGATCTCATACATGTGCTGCTGCCAATGAGTTTTCCAATTTAATATGTTCTTCTTGTTCACTCTTTCCTGAATTTCTCCCTTTGCTTTCATTTTTCATACGGGAATGGCATTTGTGTTCATTGTTTGGTTTTAGAGTCTTTTCTCAACTGAAACAGAGAATAAAGACTTTATATTCATGTATTTGTTTTACAATTTCCTGTTGTTGTTTCATTTCCCCTTTTCTTTTCCCTTTTCATGGATAAATGGAAAGAAAAATGAGTGAGACCAAGAAAGAACAGCAGGGAAAAATGCAAGGAAAAAAAAGAAGCATGACATTTTCACAAGAAACGCTATCAAAATATTAATTAAAAAATCTGGTTTAGTAATGCCTCTGATGAGGAAAGAAACAATTATGTTGGGTGGTTACTTTTTTATTATTCACAAGCCTATTTGCAAAAAAAGACTCAAACCTGATTTTAAAAGATCTACAAAGCTTTTTTGTTACTTTTGAGGTTTGTGGAACTGAATGCCTTTAGAAGCATTTGCAGATGCTCGTTTTCTTGTTTAGTTTAGTCTCTGTTTCCTATCTCTGCTTATTCTAATTTGATGGAACAGTCATTCCCAGACTTCCACAAGCCAAGTCTTACTCATAGGGAAAGTTATCATGGGAAAAAATATCAAATCAGTAAGAATATGGCTGGTATCTTCAGTCAAATTTCAGTGCAAGAACAAGCTGCAAGTCAAGACTTCGCATCAAGCTCTGAAGTGGATGGTGGCAAACACAATTGCTTGTTGGTGGTGTTGTTATCTATTTACATGTGGACAATTCCCAGGAGTTCCAGCCATGGTGTAGCAATTTTCAGGTCTATCCATCAGATTGGAAGGCAGAAAAGAGTCTTATTAAATCAGGATTATTGTCCCATCACACCCTGTCAGTCTCTTTAATTAGTGCAGTCTACTCGAAAAGCAGATGTGTGGCTGGTTGTTTTCACAGTATGTTTTCTGCTAGGCTGTGCTTTGCTGATGTCAAGGGAATGAACTGAAATGGAGCCCCTGCTCGAGTCCAAACATTGGCTGGAGCTCATGGAAGTGGCTCTGTGAGCAAACATGACAGTAGTGCACCCCGGGGGCTCCTGCAGATTTGAAAGCCCCAGGTGCCCTTTTTGTCAGCCCCTCGTATCGCCAGAGACATCATTTGCTCCTCAGAGAACCTGCTCGTGGGATCAGACTGGGTTTTAGCCCGGTTCCTCACAAGGAAGCATGCTCAGAGTCTGTGTGTTCATGCCACTGATGACCAGGGACACCACAACCTGTCCTGGGATGGCTCCTGCCTTGATGAGAGGTTCCTGGAGAGAAGAGGGGGACACCGAGGGGATATGTGAACTCCACTGGGGATGGGGACATGTATGAGCAGTGAGCCACTGAGGGGGACACTGAAGAGACATTACGGCTGTGAGGACACTGATGGGGATGTGTGTAAACCACGGGGACACAGAGGGGACGTGATTGAACCATGGGGCCACTAAGGAAACGTGTGAGCTATAGGGACACTGAGGGGGCATGTGTGAACTATAGGGATCCTGAGGGGATGTGTATGAAGCATGGGGATACTGAGGGGAACACTGGAGGAAGGCGTGTGAGCCATGGGGACACTGAGTGGGACACTGAAGAGACATATGTGAGCTGTGGGGACACTGATGGGGATGTGTATCGACCGTGGGGACACTGGGGGACACGTGTGAGCTCTGGGATACCAAGAGGGGAACTGAGGGGACATGTGTGAACTATGGGGACCCTGAGGGGATGTGTATGAATGATGGGGATATGGAGGGGGGAAACGGAGGGGACAAGTGTGAGTTTTGGGACACTGATGGGGATCTGTGTAAACCGTGGGGACACTGGGGGGACACATGTGCGCTCTGAGACACCAAGGGGGGCACTGAGGGGACATGTGTGAACTGTGGGGACCCTGAGGGGATGTGTATGAACAATGGGCATACTGAGGAGGGACACTGAGGGGACACATGTGAACTGTGAGGACGCTGAGGGGATGTGCATGAACAACGGGGATACTGAAGAGGGACACGAGGGGGGCACGTGTGAGGTGTGGGACGCGGAGGGGGCATTGAGAGGACGCGTGTGGCCCCTGAGGGCACGGAGGGCCCTCACGCCACCCGTGTGTGGGCCGAGAGCCCGCGGGTCGGGCACTGGGCTGACGTGCCGCCCCGCCGGCCGGCGATGGCGCTGTGGGGACCCGGCCCCAGCGGGCGGCAGCGGGGCGGGCCGGGGGTCACCGCCGTTCCTCCCCCGGGCGGGGCCGCCGCCGCCGCCGGCCCTCGGCGGGCGGGGCCCGCCCGCTCAGTGAGAGCCTGCGAGCGCCGCGCGGTAGCGGGACACGAGGAGTCGCCGCGCCGCGAGCATGGAGGAGGCGGCGGGAGAGGACAAGGCGGGCCACGGCCCGAACGGGCACGCCGAGGGCCCGGCAGCCGAGGGGCGGCAGGGCGGCGGGGCCCGGCTGCGGGGCTGCCGCGGGTTCCTGCGGCGCAACGCGCTGGTGCTGCTGACGGTGTCGGGGGTGGTGGCCGGCGTGGCGCTGGGGGCCGCCGTGCGCGGCGCGGCGCTGAGCCCCGCGCAGGTCGCCTACCTGGCCTTCCCCGGGGAGCTGCTGCTGCGGATGCTGCGCATGGTGATCCTGCCGCTCGTGGTCTGCAGCCTGGTGTCGGGCGCCGCCAGCCTGGACACCCGCTCGCTCGGCCGCCTGGGAGGCATCGCTATCGCCTATTTCCTGGGCACCACGCTGCTCGCCTCCGGCCTCGCCGTGGCCCTCGGCTTCATCGTCCGTCCCGGCGCCGGAGCCTCCGCGCTCAACACGCCCGGGCTGGGGCTGCCGGGCGCGCTGCCCACCAGCAAGGAGACCGTGGACTCCTTCCTCGACCTCGTCAGGTGAGGCCGCCCCGCTCCTTCCTCCTTCCCCCGCCCTCCCGCCGCCGGAGGATGATGACAGACCCGGCGATGTTGCACGCTGCAGCCGGCAGCCCGAGACCCCCCCCCCCCCCCCCCTTCTCCTTCTTCTCATCCTCCTTCTTCTCATCCTCCTTCTTCTCATCCTCCTTCTTCTTCTCATCCTCCTTCTTCTTCTCAT